TCAGGCCCACTTTAACAAGTAGATGTACAACAAAGTGGCCACTATGTGTATCAAAATCTGCTCCCTATATCCTTCTTCTCCCCATAATAAAGCTGGCACCAAGGGTGTCTGCTCTGAGCCTAAACATACTTTGGTTTGTTTTCAAACATGAATGTTTATACACTAAGCAGACCCTGCCAGTGTCTGTCTTGTCAAGGGTAATGTGAAACAGTGACTTGCTGAAACAAATCAGAAAAGTGATTGTCCAGCAGTGTCTTTGTATAGTGATAATATTGGCCAAAAGGGGAAATTATTATCTAGAGCCTTTAGATATGTATGGGAATGTACAAATACCTGTTGATCTTGCCATCTCTTTGTCTTCCTTCAGCATTCTGACCATGCCATGCACAGAAACTGATCCATGTTCAGTTTGTGTCCTTCAGCCCCAAATCGGAGCAAGAAGTAGCTGTACATATGGTGCGTCTGTAGCCACATATTTAGCCTGGCTGAAAAGCGCCCACCCAACCCTACTGTCAGAGATGGCAGCACGTAGAAACACAGAAAGGATTGCACCGTGAAATGTAATGTTGGTAGACAGGCAACTATGTACTCCACCAACTAGTACATCATAAGGTTGACTCAAGCAGTGCTGTAACGCCCGCAAAAGCTACAAAGGAGAGACTGTACAGTTGTATGACCGCAGAACAAGCAGTGGTAGCATTTAAGGGATACAAAAAGGTTTCATTTAAGATTGTAACTGTATGTGAGGCTAAGGAATATTTATTTTTATGCTGCCTGGGGGGATTTAAAATAAGTGATCTCACATAAGCTTTAAAAGAGAACTATGGGGTCAGTGTTTTTCCCCATAGTTCTCCTTAGGGTAACGGGAGGACACAAACTAGCGTCCTCCCATTACCCTAAGCTCAGTATACCGCGAGCTACAGCTCGCGGTATACTGAGACGCCGGAGCGGATGCTGACTTAGACGACGGGATCCACCCAGCTGCGTGAGTGACAGCTGGCTCTGCCTATCTAGCCTATCTGCCTATCTATAATGGTATTGGAAATAGGCATTTACTTATGTTTGGCACAGGGCACTGATTGCACTTGCACTTTTTGAGTGGTATTTTGAGTTTCACTTACGCAACTTTCTGTGACTGTGTGTGTTGCATAGTATGCATGGTCAAAAGCCATGCTCATTGAGCAATATACATAGTCACAAGAATGTTATATACACACAATTATGAGTACTTTGATAATTGAAGTAATTATCTCCATCTTTTTATAAACTTCACCCGTTTGTTATTTAGATATACATATACACAATCTCGCATATATTGATTATTATGCCTCACCAGCCTTGATAAATTTCATTGTCACTACTCATTACTTTGAATATTATATAAATACAATTAATATGCTACTTATATCACTATGCACAATTTAGTCACTTATCATTTCCATTAAATCACTAACTCATGAATGCCTAATTGTGCCTGTTCAATACAAACCTCCCTTTCTGTTGCCCTCGATTGTTGTTGCTGCTTTGCTCTCCTGACACGACTCCCATGCGTGACTACTTTTATTTGAATAGAGGGAAAACCTACCTGAAACACTCGGCTCCCTCCATTTCTCATGTAGTGATGTCGACTGACGGTCCTTTTTGACTCCTCCATGTAAGCTTGCCAATACCCATGATATCACATTGTGTGTATATATATATGTTCGTTTTATGTAAGAATGCAGTCTCTAATTTGCCTCACATGGGTTCTCTCTCATTTAGGATATATAATTTCCCCTGAAGAAGCCCAGTGGGGCGAAACATGTCGGGTTTTATCTGAATGAGTCATCTTTATGTCCTATTTTAATAACAATTGTTGACTTGATGTGACATTTATACTGCATGTAAAATAGACCAACTACTTTTTAACTTTATTTATTTCTAATTATGTAATAAATGAATTCATATTTTTATGCATTTAGAGAGTTTATAGTATTTCTTAAAAGCCCCTCCCCTTTCGGTAATTGCATACCTTAAGGTGGAACCTACTCTTCGTATTCCTTTTAGTCAATCTATTTGGGGTGTGAAATCTTACTCTCTTTGTTTTCTATTGCTCCAATACACGCCAACTAAAACCTTCTTACTATCTAGAGGCAGAGCCAGCTGTACCCGCCCCCTCCCCCGTCCGTTCCGCCAGTCAGCGCTGGCAGATCGGAGCGGGGAGAGGGGAATCCAGGCCCTCCCCCTGTCACGGCAGAGAGCCGTGACAGGATCGAGAGGTGAGCGAACCCGGTATGTGTACGCTCACCTCCCGATCTACTGAGCCGACCTGTGACAGTCTCATTGTCACAGGTCGGCTAGAACTATGAGGTGAGTGAAAAGCACTCACCTCATAGTTCTCCTTTAAGTTTGGACAGAGTGGCCAATTAAAAGTTCCTCTGAGGTTATGATTTCTGCCTGTCACCCTGCTATAGTGATTTTCACTGACATCCTGTCCCTGTGATTTCCCTACACAAAAATGCAGGAGGGGTGTCACTGAGAGGCATGAACAGCAATGTAAACAGTGTTAGAAGCTCTAACCCATCCACAGGCAACCAAAAATGTGTGTGTTCCCACAGGAGACATTTCTCAATGTTTTCTGTCCTCAAGGCAGTAATGGAAAATCAATCTAGCCTATCCTATATATTGTTAAAGTGCCCCTTTCACATGGGGAATTCTACATCCAGTTCACTAAGATAAAATAAACACACACCCATTGGTCCCCAACACACCCATTGGTCTTTTCTCAATATACTACCTCCAGCACACCTCACTCCCCAGTGTCCATGCTAGCATTGAGATCAGTACACACAGGTATGCTTCCTATATTATCATTTAAAAACAAAAGAGCACTGGAGGCTTTATGTATCCATTCAGCTTTACACCCTTAGTGAGTATACTCCCGTCTCTCCGTGGGCTCTTTTTCTTAGTGTTCACTTCCACCTCCCAGGCTTCCTGAAAACAGACAACTGAAAACAACAGACAGCAATTGACAACTTTACACTCTTCTGATTTGATGCAGCCCCTCTGTCTGTCTGCTTACCCCCCTATCCGTAGAAATGTTACATTTTCCTCTTCTTTGTTTGCCTGCCATCTTCCCCTTTATTGATCTGAGCCAGGTCAGAAACAGATCAGGGGCTTTCTTTCTGTGATCTGTATCTAATGGACACATACGAGGAGGCATTAGAGGTCTAATAGACCTCTGATGTCTCCATAAAGGAAACCTTTCACCACAGTTAAAGAAAAAGTAATAAAACATAGCAAAACTGTGCCCTGTCCTGTCACTGTTCACTGTCATACCCCTCACACTTCTCTCCTTCATATACTGCCCACTTTCAATACTGCACTCCTTCCCACACATATAATATCTCATACCCTCCTGCACATGTTACCTGCCATCATATCCTCTGAATTTTCTTAGGAAAAATACTGCCTGTGGTCATAACCTCCACACTCCTTTCCCACACATAGTGCCCCCTGTCATACTGTGCACTCTACCTCTGAATAAACTGTTTCCTCCATACCCTTCACACTCCTCTCCTGCACATACAGCCCTCCATCACAACCTCTGCAATCCTCTACAGCACATGCTGCCAGCCATCATACCCTCCGCACTCCAATCCTGTATATACTACCCTCTAAGACATTTTATTAGCATTGTTTACAATATTCCCAACATTGTCCCTGGTAAAACAAGCACAGTTTTGCTAGTCTCTATGATTGGGACACAAAAGGCAATAAAAACCTCTTAAATGGAGATTAGGAATAATGACTAGATATTCGCGCTAAGTTAAAGGTCTAATTAAATATGCAAAACTTATACACCATCATAAATCCGAACACTGCCCCAGTTACATTATTATGTGGTCTAGGCCAATGATGTCTCAGTGGCCAAAATAACTGCAAGCACAGCACTAACAATAGATTCTATTAAGACACTGTCTATATTAGTGTAAGGGAGCAATACATTACTTTATTAACCGATCTGTGTCAAGCATCAGGTTCTGTGATATACTATATGTGAGTTATATATTTATGGCTTATTTCTGAAAAATTATGTTCAGATTTTAATGGTCATTTCAAAAAATACTGTATGTAGTGTATGAAAACAGCCACACTGGAGTCAAGTTAGCAAGGGAGGTAGAACCACCACAATTCTAGGCCAGCCACTTGTCTTTGTTTCATTCCAAAGACACAGTGCGATAATTCACAAGTCATGTATAAACATCTATAAGAGCGTTTATGCTTAGTACAGTTTGCAAAGGAGCTGAAGAGCTTTTCTATAAACCTGCAAAATAATCAGGAGATGACTGTCTTTGGGAAGTCCTATGTGAATGAAGCATGCACAGAAATGGTTCATAACATAACAAATGCTATGCATGATAGGCTAGAACATCAAAATTCACAAGGAAGATCATAACAAGTGATAATAAATACAATATTGGGGGATTTCCATAATACATGTGAAGACTGAAAACAGGGCATTTTCAGCACAACACACATTAATTCCATACCATGTATATCTTATTCTAACGGGTTTTGTAAAGACAATACCCAATTGAGACTTTTTTTTCTAGATTAAGAAAATATCTAGTTTGCATATTAAATGCAGATCAAAATGCCCAGTTTCCATTCTATAAAAAGTTTTCCAATGTCTTTCATTCTGGCTTGTAAAAACTGGATGGCAGGAAAGATAGAGGAATTGTCCACAGCTCTCCAGTACACAAGGTACCACCTGTAATATCGCTGAGACTTTCCCAGAAGGGGTAAGTGTAGGTTGGGCTTTTGCACACATACATCCTCTTCACTAACATATGCTTTACTTCTCTGCAATGTTTAATTATTTTACACCTCAGAGCAATTTGTCTATGGCTGCCAGTAGATGGACAGGTGATACTGAGAGCAATGGATAATGCTAAATCTGCATTATTTAAAATAAAAGCAGCATGCGAGTGGCAGAAAACATTCATGGGGGCACTTACCCAATACTGTCTGACGTTTCTCAGCAGGAGAAAGGTTAAAGACATTGGCAAGCTCTCCAGATTCAGATTTGTAGAAGGTTTCAATATCTATTGAGAATTTTTCCACAAACGGACAGGTGTACCTGAGTTGAAAACAATATGTACATTTTAAAATCAATAAAATAATAAAATCCCCAAAAGGGGTAGAGAAGACTAAATACAATTTAGGGGGCTATAATTCCACTGCAGCAGGCAGCAGCTACTTTATAAGAGCCAGGGAATAAGTTTCTATTGACAACATAGAAAGTATAAAGACATATTTAAGTATACATATGGGGAGAGTGAATTACACTCAACCCCATAATTAGAGCGACCTGTAACACTGCAGCTGTCATACGTCGGCTCTACTGATCGAGAACTCAGCGATAACATATCGCCGATCACTCAGTTGCCGATCATCTCCCTGTCTGTCACCACTCCCCACTGGGATTCCCTCCTCCCCTCTCTCTATTTCTCCAATCGCTCTAGAGAGGCAAAGCCAGCTGTCAATCAGGCAGTGGGGTGGATCCTGACAATAGTGGACAATAGCCTGCTATATGCTGAGTTTTGGGTTACAGGACGACATTAGTAAATGTCCTCCCGTGACCCTAAAGAGAAGTATGGCAAAAAAATGGTTGGGCCATAGTTCTCTTTCAAGCACCCTATGAATCTCTGGAGCACAATATTTTATTGCTATATAAAGAATAACTATATTTATTGCTCTTTGCGCTCATCTACAGTAACTTCAGTGTACAGCCTGTATAAAATGCATATTTTATGTGTACCCAGAGACAACCTGACTGAGCAAACACATTCATGGCAATTTCAAAGACACAATCTAGAAGTCAACACACTTTTCAGGGGTCAGATAATACAGGCCTTCCACTTACAATAACAGAAATGGTTCAAAAAGTGTTCCCTTTGTATTTATTAATCCCTCACAACTTTATAATGATGAACAGCTGATAATGTTCCAGTCAATCCCTACCAAGTAACAAATCAGTACAGCACACCGATACCTGGTTCTTGTATAGGGATAAGCATTCCATGATTCTTCTTCCACACGTAGTGCAGCTTTAGGCAGAATGGATCGGAACCAGCTGGGAATGTGCATGCCAATGTGATAAACCTTGTGTGTGTACTGACCAGTGCCACCGGGGCCATCTGTGTATGGTCTATTCTCCAGGATTTCCACTCCACTGCCTTCCCCGCATGTCTCTTCTCTGCTCTTTTTCTGAAAAAAAAAAAAAGACACATGTATATCTATACTAAAATGTAAAACTAGCAATTTTACTTCATAAGACTTTAACAGCATTCGTTTAGGTCACAAACTGGTCCATGAGTGCCTGAATTACACATAAAGCACTAACAGAGCAGCATGATAAGCACAGTAACAAAAGTATATGTAAGCATCCTTTTTTTCTGCTATTTTCACCTTTTAAAGCCTATCTGGACACGAACATGTACAACTAGTAACACAAATTAAGGAGTGGGTGCTAAAGAAGTGCTTAAAGGAGAACTATGGGGTGACATTGTTTTCCATAGTTTTCTTTTGGGTCACGGGAAGACATATACTACTAATGCACGCTATATGCTGAGAGCACCGCAGCCGGGACGGATCCCAACAATACTGGGGTTTCAAGATGTGCTGTTCACTCTCTTTTGAAGAAGCACAAAGAAATGGCTAACATTGAGGACCCTTGACGCAGTGGTTGGCCAAGGAAATAGTGCAGCAGATGAAAAACACATCATGCTTACTTCTCTTCGACATCGGAAGATGTCCAGCAGTGCCATCCGCACCGAACTGGTGGAAACCAGCAGGACCCAAGTACACCTATCTACTCTCTGGAGAAGTCTGGCCAGAAGTGGTCTTTATTGAAGAATTCTGGCCAAAAACCCATGCCTTTGATGTGAACACAAGGCTAAGCGACTCAGCTATGTCAACAGTGAATTCCTAGCAAGTCTGGGGCTTCATTTCTGCAACTTAAGTTGGAGATTTGGTCAGGATCAGTGGTGTCCTCAATGTCGAGAAATACAAACAGATGCTTATACATCATGCCATACCATCAGGGAGGTGTATGATTGGCCACAAATGTATTCTGCCTAAAGCCAATGTCATTAATACTATCTTCAGCATTAAGAAGAACAAGGAGTCCTGGAAGTGATGGTTTGGCCCCCACAGAGCCCTGATCTCAACATCATTGAGTCTGTCTGGGATTACATGAAGAGACAGAAGGATATGAGGCAGCCGACATCCACAGAATCTCTGAGGTTAGTTCTCCAAGAAGTTTGGAACAACTTATGTGCTAAGTACCTTCAAAAACTGTGTGCAAGTGTACCTATAAGAAATTATGCTGCTTTGAAGGTAAAAGGTGGTCACACCAAATATTGTTTTGATTTGGATTTCTGTTCTTTCCATTTACTTTCCATTTTGTCAATTGATAAAAATAAACTATTAACACTTTTATTTCTGAAAGCATTCTTACTGTACAGCATTTCTTCACACCTGCCTAAAACGTGTATACAGTACTGTATATATACTTACCGACCTTGCACAAGATAGCGGCAAATGAAAGTTTGAAAAAAATTATCCAGAAAGTATTAAAACTAAAGCATTGGTGAGGCAACTAGCATTTTCAGGAGGAGGATCAGAAATAGCAGTGCACAGACCTAAACCAGCTGTAGAGAACCATGCATTATATAAACTACGGATGCCCCTACAAATTTTATTAGGTTTATGTAGCCATTTTGGATTATCTACGCTATTCAAGCATTATGAAAAAAATTACAAGCCAAGGTTACGTTCAGTCAAAACTCCATGTCAAAATAAGCAGTAGATCCAGAGATATAGGCAACTAGATAAGGTATACAGATTACACTTAGACCTCAATTGAATTATGGGTGCTACAATTAATTAAATGTTCGGTGCCAGTCAGCAAATATATCAACAGCACTTGTTTAGACACCAGTGTGATCAATAAGCTGGATAAATTGGGAAATGAGGATTGGTTGGTGGCATGAGTGCTGGTCTTGAAGAACACAAGTCTACTAGTTTAAATTAGGATTAGTTGTCAGCGGATACTTTCAGTGAGAAACAAAGCTAAGAATTTGTCTCCCTGTGCTGGGATAGGTGCTATTATAACCAAATCATACTGAGAAAAATGCTTCAAGATTCTGTATGATAACTAACGTGATACAACATAGAAAAATATGTCCGGATACACTTAAGCAGGGGTATTATGTGGCCCGCAGCCAACTGACAAATCAGGTACACGGTCATGGACCGTGTACCTGACTTGCGTTAGAAGCTACACAGTCTGCATCTCTCAGTTCCCTTTGGCCAGAGCTCAGAGCACCAGACCTTACTAATCAACCACTGGATCACCAGGGAATGATGTGCCTCCTCCCTGAAAAAACGTAAGCAGTTGAGGAGGCTCTTTGTTCTATTTTTGTGTGTGCGGGGGTGCGGAGGGGGGGTTAGGGAGTATATTATTTTATGTGGGGGACGACGACAGGGGAGCATATTATTTTGTGTGTGGGGGCGGGGAACAGGGGGAGCATATCTTTTTTTTGAGAGTGGAAGGGGGGGACGCGGAACAGGGGGAGCATATTCACACTTGTATGTTCCCGACATAGGAATCCGTAATCACACCTTAACTCACAGGTGTGAATGGGGCCTTATTGTGTGTATTTTAGTGTTTGTAATTCTGGTTGTGGGGGCTTGTGCAGATTTCCGTTTGTGTGTATTTCTATGTGTGCGTAACTGTGTGTGTGAAGTATGAAATTTGGTAAGCAGCCACCATGGGAGAAAAACATTTGTCCAGTGGCCTCCGAGAGAATTGAGTTCGAGACCCCTGCGCTAAAGGATGCTGGCGTGTTTGCATCATGCTAAGAAAAATGTGTCTGTTTTGCATTCAGTTACAAATTTATTAGAAATGTGGATAGACTTTTTGATGTTTACAGACACAGAATGGGTTCATATGCTGCTTACTTTTTGAATCATGCTTGTCAAAAGTATACATACTGTAGAAAATACAGTAATATGAATAAATAAGAGGCCCTTTAAATTATAGATGCCGATTTTAATGATGCTTTACATTTTTTTGGATGAATAAAATTTAATTTTATACCTACTGCCGCTATCATGGTTTGGGCATATTAACACAATTAGAATAGGCATTCTTCTCAATTCTTGCACCTGTTCCAAACTGTCCGCATTAGGATCCCTTGTCCATTCTTCCTCCAACTTAGAAGGCTTCTAGCTAACTTTGCTTGGAACTTGAACAGACCTAGGATGAAGTATTTGACTTTGATAAGAAAGAAGGAGCAAAGGGGCACAGGACTTTTTACCTCCCCCTCCAACTCAATGGTAAAAGCACTCCCTTTATGTCTTCACCCTTTTTCCATGTTGCTCAAGTTAGTCATCCCCACACTCCTACATACCCCCCTGGGACAACCAAAGACCACTGCGGGAAAACTCCCTTCCCCATACCTTCATGTACTTCTCTTCACCCTCCTTTCTGACCCCACCCCCCTCTTTTTCTGCGTCCCTAGACTCACTGCCCCCCCTCGGAGATCCCTACACTTGTCCCCTACACTTGCCAGTTGAATTTACCTCAAAATTCTACTTACATGACCCTCTCCCTTTGTTTATTATATTTAAAACAGGATGCAAATAATTTACTAGGCTTGAATAGATCTTAAAATTAGCAATAATGTGGGTTACATATTGTCTTCGTTCCCACTATTTCAATATGTATATGTGCATCTTAAACTCAATTGAACTTAAAATGTAATTTTATTGTAATGCATGAATTCAGTGTTGACCTTATTCATTCTGCTTAGGGATTACTGAACATGTTCACTGTGTGAGTATTTGATTAAATAGGTGTGGTTACAGAGTAAAGGAGCTATTGACTAGAGATATAACGGTAAACAGATTTAGTTATTACATAATTTGAGATTAAGTCAGTTTGAATATTTGGCTGTGTATAAAGAAGTGGAAAACAGAAAGTAAAAAAAATGACTGAAAAATAGAAATAAAAAGGCTTGAGGTCAGCTTTATAAAAGCTAATACAAATATTTCGGTTTACTCAATCAGATCATAACAAGCAACCTGACAAAATATACCACATCTGTCAAATTTACTAGGGATGCACCGATATATCGGCCGCCGAAACATATCGGCCAAAAATTGCACTTTTGGCTAAATGCCGAAAGTGCCATTTTCCTGCCGATACATTGGCGCATCCCAGGTTTCTTTCCTCCCCGCTGGGCGCTGCTCTGTGTCCCAGGGGGGAGGAGAGAAAGTGACAGCCGGCCAAGCGCTGTGGGAGGAGAGCGCTGTGAGCGGCCTGTGTCTCTCCTCCCGCACCGCTCGCTCAGCCTTCTGTGACAGCGTGTCAGAGAGGAGAGCAGTGTAAACAGTCAGTGATCAGTGATCGCTGAGTGTTTGTAGATAATTGAGCACATGGTATGGTTACTATATCCTCAATTATGAATGAATGGGAAGTGATCTATATCCACTCCTATTCATTCATAGTGGTAGTTATAGTAAACACACAATGTTCTCATGTTATCAATGAACAGGAACACTCATAGAGGTTTCCTGTCCATTGATAACAGGGGACACAGAAAAAGAGATTGAGGACTTTGTGTTCTCAATCTCTTTTTCTATTTTAAATGGGAAATATCAGGGATCCGTTTGGACCCCTAATGTTTCCCCCGAAGCCCCTAAAAGTAAAGTAAAAAATAAAAATATTTAATAAAAAAGAATAAATGACAATAAATATAACAAAAATAAAAGTTTATAAAAAATAAATAAAAATAAAATATTTTAAAAAATTAAAAAAATGTAAATAAAAACATTTTCCGTTTCGGCCTAACAATTTTTTTATTTCGGTTTCGTTTCGGTTTTTACATTTCTATTTCTGGGCACCCCTAAAATTTATAATTTTACATTTTAATCCATGATACAGTATACACCACTAATTAATAACAATAATCACTTTTCAGGTGAGGTAAATTGTTAATGATTAAACTAAAATTGGCTGAGAAAATTCACTTCATCCTTTTGGCAAGTTGGATACAAAGCTTTGGCATATGCAACTGTTTACTTGGTGTCTCAAATCTGAAATGCAATATCACTGGGCATTAGACTGTATGCAAAGGATATAAAACAGAACACTTACCAAAGTTAAGTTTGACTTCAGCAAGTGTTTAGGTTTATTGTAA